GGTGGAGGCGGTGGCAGTCCTGCTCCTGGCAAAGGTGGTGCTGGGGGTGGGGGTGGCATTCCCAAGCCAGGTAGAGGAGGAGGTGGAGGAGGGACACCAATCCCAGGTAAAGGTGGTGGTGGAGGGGGAGGCGGGACACCCCAACTAGGCAGGAGGGGTGGGACTTCTGCTCCGGGCAAAGGTGGTGGTAAAGGTGGTGGTGGTACTCCAGCACATGGAAGAAGAGGGACTGGAGGCAACATTGGCATCTCCCCGCTTGGCAAAGGTGGAGGAGGGGGTGGTGGCATCATGATGCCCGGCAAAGAGTGGTCCATGCAGGGCACTGCTGTGCCAGCAGAAGGGAGTCCTGAGCTGGGCAGGGGTGGGGTGAGTGGTACTCCTCCCAAGGACATGGGAATGGCAAGGGAAGGACCATGTGCTCCAGACAGCAGAGCAGCTGGTTCGGTGGCTGGCAGTGATGGGGAAATGCTACATGTGGGCTCCGGGGGCAAAGAAGGAGGATGTTCACTACAAGTCACAATACTTAGAGCCTGATTGGAAGCTGGCATTTCAGTCCCTCCTTCAAATGCAAGGGACAAATTAACTCTGGGTCCTGGAAGAGGTGACTGTGTCGTACTCTGTACTGGCTGGCTTGCATCCAGTGGCACTGAGATTAGCTTCGGTGAAAGAATTAAGGAGATTTCAGAACAAAACGTGGGTTGTAGTTCTAGAGCTGGCAGTTTCTGACTTGGCTCTTCACTTTTGCCCCGTTCTAAGTGAGGTGGTGGGGGTGGCTGTGGCAGTGCATTGGCTGAAGGCATTGTGTGTGCTGAATAATCCTCCGTTGGTGACGTTTGTACAGATCTTGCTTGTGACACAGTCCTGGGTACAGTCTCCTCTCCGTTTGTTTGAAGAGTCACGCTGCTGAGTTCCCCACAGACTGTATGTGTGTGCTCATTTTCCTGCTCTCTCCCAGCAGTCTGCACCTCTGCAACAGGGAACTGTTTCTCTAGTTCTGCAATTTTGGTCCTCAGATCCTCAATAGTTTGCTCAAGTTGTTGGATGACACTGGCACGCTCCTCGGATTTCGCCTCAAAATTGTCCTTTGGAAAAAAAAAAGAAAAATAAGCACGGAACAGATAACACATCACTATAAAGAAATAAATTTAGATAAGCAATATTGGTGTTCCAGAGGTTCAGAAATAAGAGAGTTATGACAAGCCTTTAAAAACAGAAATACCATTTTGTCTAGCTGCATCTTACAGTGGAAGACAACAGAGCTTCGGAAAATTACTTGCTTCAGTATGACATTACCTTTATCAGTGTGAACATGTTTTAGACTGTGATTATATTTGGCAAAACCAAAAATAAGCAGCAAACTCTGCCTCCCCCCCCATACCCTGACCAAGAGAACAACCAACCGCTGAGCAGAAGTACTGCAAATGTTTCTGTACACATGGATATGCAGACATGGTGGTGGGAAGGGCATTGTGTCACTGCAATTCTGCTAACTGAAAGTAAGTTAGATGTTTCTTCAAAAGGGATGCACTGTGCATAACAGGCTCAACACATTACTGACCACTGTCTCTCCATATACACCTTAATGATACAATACAGATTAGGAATGCAGAACATAACAAACGTGCACTTTTTTGAAAACAACTGATCTCAAAAGAGTGTAAAATTATGCTTTTCTCCAGCCAGCATGCTTGAGAAGGAAAAGTAAGACAAAACTAAGGGAGAACTTTCCTCCTACCCAAAATTTGAAACTCCTCTGCCAAGTGACAGACTGTGAATGGGTAACATCAGAAAAGCTTCCTGTCTGGACTAGTTATTCTGTATTTGACAATTTCCACATTTTTTTATATCTTTCTCTGAAGCATCTGATCCTGCCTGCTATAGACTGAGGAGAGGAACCATTAATCTTAAATGGCACAATAATTCCTAAATTTTAAAATAAATACCAGTAACAAACTGTACTAAATGTAATGGGTATGAGCTTTTATGAAAAGGTACCAAAAGAAGCAACATAGTCCAAAAATAGCCATTTGTGCTTATTCAGGAAAGATGAACAGGAGATAGAACAGACATGACTTTTCAACACAAAATATTTTAATAAAGAACTCACTGCATGCAACTAGAAAATATTTACTTTTAGTACTTTTTTTTTTTTCCCTTTAGATTTGGAATATTGATCAGCAGTTCAGGCATTTAGTTGAATTAAGTTTGTCATGCAACAGGTTTCCCGAGTGGTTACAGCAAAACAGTTTATTGCCTTTTCGTCCCCTTTTATAAAATCATAAGCTTCATGGGTGAGACTGTAGGCTTATTTCATAGGAAATCTTTCAAATATTCAGATTCTACAGGTCTTGTAAAGAACCCGACAAATAAGTATACAATGCCTGACACGCTAATTGACTTGATTTGTTTCAGGAAGATGATGTTTTTCATCTTACCCTTTGACACATGAAACATTTAGAATTTTTCCTTCTGGAAAATGAAATTGTAACTTCCAGCTGGGGACTATTAATAAAATATGTTCATTAATACTTAAAAAAATCGTTTCTGCACAGAATTGGTTTTCAAACATAAATTTCAATTTTGTGTTTATCTTAGTTTCCCAGATGTCCTAAAGCAATCCCAAAAGTCAAACTGCAACTACTACATTTAAGCCAAATATTGTTTTATTTTGAAGCATCTTTAACAGAACTTACAACCCCCCTATATTGTTTAAACTCTCTGGAATCGCAGTTTGAACTGAAAAGTACGGATTACAATGAAGCATCTTTACCAAACTTTGAAGAGGAATGTGAAACAGAGAAAAGAACATTAAGAAAGTTTTTCAGTGAATAGTGAAGGATAGAACACAGCAGACATATTAACAAACAGTATTATAGCAAAGAAAAAAGGCTGAAAAAGACATTTCCATTACAGACTACTCATGGTGCTTCAATCCACTCAGTTTCCTTTAAGAACTCAATACTTTGTAGCAGCAAAAATTTTGTTGAAGAACTTAATTTTAAATGAGAAAGAGAATGTTCTATTACCCTTCTGTTTCATCTATGCTTATTCTCTTACCAGTCACCTGCAAATGCAATAATAAGGCCTATCAATTCTTCAAAAGGAAATATTATCAAAGGAAATCAGTTCCTAGGATTATTAAGGCCATACACTGGTTTTCAGTTATTTGAGAACAAATCCAGTTTCTCCAGACTATAACCCTACAAATCTCCCATTTTACACTGTAAGAACACTCCATCAAGGGTTTTATGACAGGTATAGCTTCCCAATTCTATCTGAACTGGAAAATTTATTCCTGCCACAAACTGAAGCCAACAGGATGAGACATAATATTAAATGGTTCTGAAAAGATTTGCCTTAATGATGGCTGATCTCAGAAAAGTTCACAGTTTGAAAAACTCATTTACTCATGAGATTGGATTCAACTTTTCAAGACGTAATCCTTGAATCTTGAAATTCTACTTGAACTACAGAAAAAACCTAGAATTTACAAGAGGACTTACAGTTCAGGCCATGACATTTCTTTCAAGAGAAGGGAGGTGGGGTGGGGTGGTGGGATGTTAAGTTTAAAAACATGGGTAATCAAGTGACATGATTAAACAATTCAGGCAAGAGACTAAAATGCTTCAATGAATTAACATGACTTTTTACCCCATGTCCTAAGAAACAATTTTCCTGCTATCCTTGAGACAAGGCATTTCAAACAACCTGATGATTTGCTATTGTGTTGTTTCACATGAATCAGCAATATATCCAGGTTTTCACAGAAACAGCATATTATAAATAAACAAGACTTTGCTGTGAATATAGAGATATTTATCCAGAGAAAAATATGTACTTTATGTTTATGTAGTTTAAAAAAAATCCCAAACAAACAAAAAAAACCCCAAGAAAACAAAGCCCCAGTATTTATATGTTTCAGTAATTATTTTAGAGAAATAAAGATATTGTTCATTTTGACTTTTAAGGTGCCCTCAGGCTAACTTAGTTAGACTTCTGACTTCTCCCTAACAAGTGTAGTGTTTGCCTAGATCAGAAAGGGCTGTATCAAACAATCATAAGCCACAGCAAGTTTCCACTATCCTCAACAAGGAAGGAGATTTAAAATATATTTAAGTCCAATCAGAAATGAAACTCAGATAATTATCTTAGAAGACTAAGCAAGGAAAGACTTAATTTTTCACACTTGTAAAAGATGGACAAAAGCTGTTGACAAGAACCAGAAGACCCAGATAAAAAAAATATACACAATGAAAAGAAGGTTCATTTTTAATCCAAAGGACAATTCCACAGCAGAAACCTACAGGGTTTAAAAGAGATATGAGGGAACTCTGTCTTGCCTAGAGTTCTTACCCAGGACCCAGGTACTGTGGAACAGTCTTCTTTCTGTAAAGAAAGAAAGAAAGGTGGAAGCTTAAGCCTTGCTTTATCCAGGTGACTTGAGCGTGAAAGACGTGAGCAGGAAAAAAGTTCCAGAGGTGTATGGCTATAGAATGATGCCCAGCATTTCTCAAAAAGGTTGTACATGTTCCACGTGCAACGCGTTGGGTGCTTAATCTGGGACTGCTGGACTGACTGTGCTACATCAATAGGCTTGTGTTACATCAATAGGCACTGATGTATACAGTATCCATCTGATCTGGGAATACTGGCTTTACTGTATGAAGGTTGTATGCTTGGATCTGCACATATAACAAAAGTCTGTACATTACACGCAATTCATTCCAATTTTTTCGTGTGTTCCACATGTGTACATCACATGTCCAGCATAAAGCTGATCTACATAGATAGAAAACACTCAGGATTGTCAAACATTTAAAAGCTCAGATTCCAGCTACCTTCTTTACCAAGTCTGACATCCTAGTTTCTCAGGACTGAATTTCCAGGTAGAAAAACCCTACATATCTATGAAATTTAGCCGTAGACTGTATGTATACACACATATACATGTATCTGTATTATATATTTAGCTAAATCTATGTCAACTGCATTCACTTATATACTTTATGAACAGCCATAATGTGTCTTTTTCTTCTGAAAATAAGCATAATGGTAGTTATTAATGGCAATTTTGCAATATTTGAAAAATAAAGACACATTACAATTTAGTTTTAAAAGTTAAAGCTTTATAGTATTACGAGCCAATAAGTTGCATCAGCAGTTTGACAGCTTGCAGGAATTTGTCACTTAGTGTCATAAGTTTCACCTCCGGGTGGAATTAACGTGTAGATGATAGGCTTATACTTCTTGGTGTTTGTTATTTTTTTTTTTCCCCAAAACATTAACCTTTTTGTTTTTCTACATCAGAATTCAGATTGCGAGCACCTACAGGGAATAGAAGAATACAGTTAAACAGGATTAAGATGGCATAATAAAAGACCCCTCAGGTCTTCCAGTAAGTTGTCACCTGGTGGTACTAGCAGCATCTGGTTATTTGGAAGGATGCTCTTTCCAACTACTCATTAAATAAATATCTCTTTTCTATGTGAAGTGAGAAATTTCTGAGCGTACATGCTCACTACATAGTATAAAGTAGTGCCACAGTAAGAATTTAATTCAGAGTTCCCTTTTGAAAGACGTTTCTTGCAACTGCAGATAAACCTTAAGAAAATGAGACAACATTTTAACAAGCATTTCAGTGCTACAGTGAGAAGTACCGATGGACACTTGATTTGCATTCAAACAAAATAGCATCCATCTAATTAATTCTCCTATTGCCCTAATCCTCAAAGCCCATTGTAACATTTTAGTTTTACAGCAGTAGAAGTAGTAAAAATCTGGCCAACTTGCCAATAACTTCAGGCAGAACTGCTGAAGGAGTGGGATTAGGATTAGATACTAGTTCCTTCCATGGGATCAAATTTTTTTTGAGCTCTTTTTATACTGAAGGTGCATGTGTGGGGACAAAGGAGATATGTTTTTGCAATAGTTTAAGCTACGCTTCATGTTTCTTCCTACAACCACACGGAAATATGATGCACAGCTTCCCAAGATAGCACTGAACGAGCAAGCGCTGGAATAGAAAAGGTGTAATGCACTGCGCTGCCTGAAGTGATGAACTTTACCTGGTGGAGGTGAGATA